CAATGGAACAAAATGAAGACCCAAATATGAGTAAATGCAATTTCAGCCACCTGATATTTGACAAAGGGGGCAAGAATATTCACTGGAGGAAAGACAGAATGTTTAGCAAATAGTGTTAGCAAGAAATGGTGTTGCATCTCCACCTGTGGAAGAATGAAACTAAACCCCTATCTTTCACCCTGCACAAAAGCCAATTCTAAATGGATCAAAGACCTCAATGGAAAGCGTGAAACTCAAACTGGTAGAAGGAAACATTGGGAAAACCTCTAAGATGTAGGTGTAGGAAAGGATTTTCTAAACCGGACATCAGTTGCTCAGGAAACAAGGGCAAGAATTGACAAACTGGACCTCATTAAACTAAAAAGCTTCTGTATATCAAAGGAGGCAACCAAGGAAGCGAACAGAAAACCCACAGAATGGGAGAAAATCTTCACCAACGACACATCTGACAGAGGTTTAATATCCAGAATATACAACGAACTCAAAAAACAGAGAATCAAGACAAAAGATACCCAATTAAAAGATGGGCTAAGGAGCTGAACAGAGAGTTCTCAAAAGAAGAAGATAGCTATGAAGCATCTTAAAAGGTGTTCAACATCACTAATAATTAGGGAAATGCAAATTAGAACCACTTTAAGATTTCATCTTACCCCAGTCAGACTGGCAAAGATCAAGAGAATAAATGATACCAAATGTTGGAGAGGATATGGGGAAAGTGGAACACTCATCCACTGCTGGTGGGGCTGCAAACTTGTTCCACCCCTACGGAAAGCAGTATGGAGAACTCTTTAAAAACTACAAATGAACCTACCACTTGACCCAGTTAGAACACTTCTTGGCATATACCCAAAGAACTAATTCTACTGCAGAGACACTTGTACATCCATGTTTGTTTCTGATCTTTTCACAACAGCTAAGAGATGGAAGCAACCTAAGTGTCCCTCAATTGATGAGTGGATAATGAAAATGTGGTTCATTTATACAATGGAGTTTTACTCAGCAGTAAAGAAAGATGAAATCATGAAATTTGCAGGTAAATGGATGGAACTAGAAACTGTTATACTAAGTTAAATAACACAGAATCAGAAAAAAAAAAAAGTCTTATGTTCTCCCTCATATGTGGATCTTAGCGCCAAATCCTGATAAGTAAGTATATATCTAGACATAACTACAGGAACCAGGATAATGAAAAGGTACCAGGGAGGTAAAGGAAAAGAATCTGAAAGAGAAGAAAAGTAGGAAACAGGCATTAGTAAGGGAGATATAGATAAAAATGGGATTATTTTAAGGGGAGGGGAGAGGGAAGGTTATAACAAGGAACCTAGGGGATAAAGCGAGAGAAGGTGATGGAGGGGTGAGACAATGTTAGAGATAAATAATGCCTAGCTAGTTTTACAAGCCAGAGGGAACCATATTACTTCAACAACGTACTGACAAATTATACATACCAGGTCAAGAAATATATGTCTAGGTAAGGTTTATCTGAGAACAATTGGTCTTTGCCCAAGATTTATCTACACGACACACAGTAATTAAAAGTACCAGACTGGTGGAACTAACCTTCTTAGATGTTTAACAGACATACTTTGAGGCCTATAATA